GCCTCTAAATCATCGATTAGTAGCCTTAAAATGTTCTGGTTTTTATGATTTTATAATGTGTATGTTCCCTTCAGTATGCTTGTAAGTCCAAGAGTTGCTATGCTTTGTAAAGGGTTGTCCTTCCTTCCTTGTAGAAGATTACTTGATGTCTTGGATTCTTCTTTTTTTTTTTTTGTTTGGATTCTTTAAGATATAACCTGTGCATAATGGAACTAGAATTCATTGGGTTGAGCTTTACTTGAAAAACCAAATAGGGCATTGATCTTCATATATTTGCAATATAACTGAGTTAAAAATTTTCAAGTTTTCTGCATAAAATCTTATATTTCCTTTTCTCCCAACCCATCTGCATTCAATTTTTTTTTTAAATTTTTTACTGTCTCAGTCCAGAAGAACAATCACTTGAAAGGGAGGGGGAATGGCCAATAGAATCCCCACACTCAAAATCACATGCCTCAGGTCAAACTACTATTAGCTCAAGTCTAAACCATGTGGTTCCCAGAAGTCTTCACTTTAAATTAAGGATGCTAGAAATGACTAACTTGAGCTCTTATATGGGTTTAATCAAGCACTTCTCTAGTCAGGGATAAGGTATTCCAATGTTTAGCTAATGCCCAAACTGATGGCATTATCCTCGTTAAGGGTGATAATAAGTTATTGATCTTGAATTTATGCTCTTTATCAAGATTCAAGAGTCCTAACTCAAATATTTGATATGAAGTAATCACTCCAAAAATTATAGTGATTTATATATGATAATTAGATTGCTATATTTGATAAGTATTTTGTGATTTTATATGATCATAATTTTGAATCACCGATAATGATCATATCACTGTATTACAAGGTGATTTAATTTCCATACAAAAAAATTAAAAACTTTTATGATTAAAATGAAGTGATATATAAAATTAATAATAATCAATATTACTCATTTAATATATAAATTGAAAACTTGTTTTCTCTTAAAATTATAATTATTTTATATTTTTAAATTAATATTCATTATAACAAATTAAAAAATAATTTTATGTTTTTTATTTTTTAATATTTTATATATAATTTAATTTTTTATTTTTCTTTTGTTATGAATTTAATATATTAAATTTATTTTCTAATTCAAATATTTTTACATAATTTACATTATAAAAATTAATTTACCAATCAATAAATATATTTATTAATTTAATAATTTAATTATATTTTATTATAAAACAAATAAAATATTACTAATAGTTTACAAATTATTATCTTTAAACAATATTAAAATTAATAATTTATATAACTATTACAATATACATGTTTATTTTCGTACTTTTAAACAAAATAATATTTAATTTTTAGTAATATCAAATACAATAATTTTTAATTTTTAAAAATAAATGATTGATAACCAAATATAATAATTTTAAATCATAAATGATAAAATAACATTGCTAATAAAATCATGTCGATAATTACGTTACTATAATAATCTTACAGAGTTTCACCTCTCAGAACAAGACCCAGAGTTGCTCAAAATGATTTAAGCCCGGTTTGTTCATTCCTGGACTATGCTACTCAGCCCAGGTGTCAATGGAAAATCTTAAGTCGGGCCCTGGCATTGTTTGAATAAGGATTCACTGTTAGAAATAATAACAGTGTTATGGAATTTTTGTCATTGCAACGTTTTCTTGCTCTTTTGATCGAGAGAGCACGATTGCAAGAGATATGTCTTTAGGATTAATGATGTCCTCTGACTCTGCAAACTTGTTAATGTCAAAATCTTTTCTTTTCTTGCTAATTTTAGCCAAGGAAAACAGCATTCCTTTTCTCGAGAACGTTGCTTTCTGGTCTTTCTTTTGTAAACCCTGTGCAAACTTGGACTCACCCGGCCATTATATTCAACAGCATGTCAAATTCAGAACGAGAACAACAACAAATTGAACAATAAATGGTTGACAGTTTCCAACGGTGAAGACTATTTCCATGGTCTTTAGCACTGTTATGCCTTTTTTTTTTTTTATTCAAAGGAGGGCAAAGTCTATTACATGAAAAAGGAGAGGGGATGACTTGGTTCGAACCCAAACTCTAATATCTTCCTTAAAGCTTCTTTACCAAGCGGAAGACACACTGTTATGCCTTATTCATTATGTCATCAACAACTGTCTGACTGCTATATCAGTAGAACTTAAACGATAGTTTAACTAGTCATGTAATCATCTACCAGACATAAAAGGAATAATCAACCATTCCTAACTCTTTTCCTGCTTTCTCTCACTACTTCCTACTCTCCCTTGCCTCTTTCCTTTCTCGTGTAGCTTGTTTATTTGAGCGCCCAAATACTTTTTTTTTTTTTTAGAAAAACTCTATAGTAAATAGGTTGTTCAATTCTCCATATTATAATGGAATATGTCGTCTTTGATAATATAAAACAAGTTATTATAGATCATATATTTAAAATAATCCTAATAAATGATTATTAGTATAATTCGACTCAAGATTTCTTTATCGAAAAAAATAAATCTTAACCAATTGAGCCATATGTAGGTAAGCGTCCAAATATGTTTCAAAGTATTACCTTCAACACCTCTAAATTATCATTTTTGTGAATAAGTCTGACATGCTCTCCTCCTCAATCTCCGGTCAGTTTCTCTCTCACCAAGACCCAAAGTTACATCAATAAGCACTTTGATATCCTAAGCCAATTTGACCACGGTGGAGAGACGTTTTTCCCCTTTGATGGCGATATTTTGCATTCAAGTGGGAGAGAAAAATGGCGTAACTAAATAGTTGACAAATAAATTATTTAGCCGTTTTTCCAACACTTGTTTTGTTTGGATTCTGGTAATACTTTTCTCCAAGCATGCAAGAGCAATAGTTTTTTCTTTTTTTTTTTTTTTGGTTTAATCTGAAGCCAAAAGCACACTAAAAATTCTCAAATTGCTGATAAACATATGTTTTGCATGATATCATGATCTCAATGTAACCGAATTAATCCAATCATTCACATCGATTCTTAATTTTTTATATTTAAAATTGCCAAGGATTAAATCATTATTATCATTGAAATTAATAATACAACAAGCCTAATTCCAATTTCACGTTTGTAGATAAGACGTGATCTTCAGTACCACTAATGGAGCCAATCTTGTAAACCAAAAGGCCAAGCGGGAAACAGAAAAAAAAGGAGTGTGAAATGCTAAGATAAAATGGGTCCAAATTTTAGATGATTCCAAGCTTTGCAACAACCAAAATAAGGCATTGTTGAATCATGGCGTATTTCCTCTGTTGCTCCATACCGAATAATAACTACAGACAGTGTCAACGGAATCAAAGAATAGGGATACATTAATATATGTTATCAGCTCATCACTACAATCTATGAAAGAAAAGGATAGCGGCTACACTTGGCAAATAGATATTAAATCTAAAAATTATTAAATTAGAATTTATGTTGAAATCTTAAATATAAAATATATTTTTTATTTTTATTAAATTTATATATAATCTTTATTAAAATTTTAAATCATATTAATTTTTTATATTATTTTTCATTATGTAATCATATTTGTTAGATAAAAACCTTCAATTCAATTATATCAACGAAAGTAAAATCAAATAATCAATAAATCACATAAGAGATAAAAATTTAACATGATTCGATCCAACTGACTTATGTCCAAAAAATAAGATCCATTAATTATAGAAAATTACAAACATATATCAAATCAAGCACTTACAATTAATACCCATAAATCCTCTTAATTTCTTCTAAACTTATGAAGTATTCTTAACTCAAATATATATACACCTAGGTGCACCCATATATCATACTTATGTAGACCTTCTTAGTCTCTTCTAGTCCACTCACATATACCATACTATGTAGATCCTCTCAATCTCCTCTAATCTACTCACAAATATTTAAATATATACATCTATAAGACGTAAATCTCTAGTACTCTTATGAGGTGTCTATCCTATAAAATTTTATAATTCTCTTACATTTTTTTTTCATACTTAAAACCTTATAGAGACTCCATTTATTTATAATCATATAAACTTACTTACTAAAAATATATTTTCTCTTAGAATTATTCTTTTATAAGTTTTTTATCCATCAAATAATATTTAATCAATTCATACAAATTTTTTATGAAATTTGAGTTATTATTCCTAATAATATCATTACTCATATTTTAAATTATTAAATTAAGAGTTGATGATCATGTGAAGGGCAAGAGATAGAAGACCCTAGCAGAAGATATTATATTAAATTATCAATTGATCAAGTATATGTTACGTTCTAGTTTGGCTGCATGATTAGACATCTTATGTATCCTAAACAAATGGTTTTGCCCAATCTATGGTTTTTGGTTCTCTTCCGCCGTTTTGAAAGTAATGAATCAAACTTTTCAGCATCTAGATTCAACCAGGAAATATGAGACGAGGGATCAAGGATTTGAGAAGAACAACCCCAAATTGTAAAAATCCATGTGTTAAGCCGAAAACTTCAGTATTAAACTTTTTTAAAAAAAGGGCAAATCCATGCAGAAACAAGTATATCATTCGAGTATATACTGTTTTTAGTGCTAAAAATGGGTTGAAAAAAATCTCTTAACCAAGAAGATATTTGTTATTAAAGAGAATTTTTATGAGGTAGCTACAATGAAAACAATTTCAGTGCCATTACTCTCTGATCTGTGCTGTAATTTAGCCATAAAAAAAAAAAAAAGGATATGATCTATTCATAGCGAAATAATATTTACAAAAAGCTAGTAAAGATACCACTGCATAAAATATTTGTCATTCAGATCAACCATTACCCTTCCCCCTTTCTTGATTTGGAGGAGATCACTATCTCATTTACACATTCTTCTTGTTTTTCACTTTTGCTCCCTTCTCTTTTTCCTTTCTCAATTTTTCAAATAAGTTGAAGCAGATGACCTGTTTAAATGGAATTTGGGAAATTAAACAACCAAAACCAGCCAAGCCAATCTAAATCTCAAACTGGAGTTACTTTGGTTGATTATCTTTCTTTTCTCAATTAAACATAACCCTTTTCAACATTCAAGTCCAACGTATAGGAATTTAAATCAAAAGACATAAAAAAGATATTTAGCTGATATGTGCAGCCAACTTCTTTTTTTTACCACATGAAATCAATCTTAAGAGGTGACATGATCTGAGTTTAAATCTCGCCAACTATAACCCTTTCCATATTCTCGTCAAGCGGCATCCTTTGTAAAATAAATTGATAATTTTTTGTGCCCTGTGGGGAACACTGAACAAGGCCATAGCCTCATATTTCCAGACAACATCCTCTTTTTCACTAATAAAAAAGATTACTTTTATTTTATTTTTAGGCACAATTATTCTTGCAAGATACAGTCAGGAAAAGAAGAGAAGATATTTCATCTGCTGCATTCTCTTAGCTAACCTACTAAGTCAAAGCTTTTATACATAAGTTAGGAAGCTGCAGTTATGGAAGGGTGTTGAGGAGGTCGAAGGAAGAAATCTGGAGGAGGTATATGGCTGTGCTCAGTTTCTTGTCCGCTCTCATCATGCTCTTCTTCTTCCTCATCTACTTCTTCAGCATCCCAAAGAAATTTTGCATATGAAGCCAGGACAAAACTGCAGATAAAATTGAGATCACACAGTAAGTTTCAGCGGTATATAAGTGATTCTGAGCTCTAACAATGAAAGTAGAGCTACTACATATGGATTAACTATTAAAAAGTTATTTGTTTCTGAAAACGAATTTGATTTTACAAAAAGGGAAAATTTAAGGGATTATTGGAATGAATATGATTAAATTGACTAAATTTTATAGAAACAAATTCACTACAAGGAAACCATCAAGAGCTGTAAATGTAGTAAAATTTCAGGCAACATATCAGTTTGATTAAAATAGACGGTTGTTCGAACCTAAGGCTTAGCCTAGTTTAGCCTTGGTTCAAATGCGGTACCTACAATCTCTTCTTCTATCCCCAAATTACGGCCTCCTTTGCAAGAAAAATGCAGAAGAAAACTAGTTAGAGCAAATATAGCAATAAAAGTTAAAACATTTATATAGATCCAAAGAGCATATCTTCACATATGAAATGAATTAAGTTTGATAAGCTGGTGCTTGGTATTTTACCAGTCATTTGGGGCAGTCTTAACAGCTTGATCAAAGTAACTTTCGGCTCTATGAGCATCTTTTCGGCTTTGCCAAATTAAATCAGCATAGAGAGACAAAAGATTTCCATCATTTCGGTTTGCCAAAATTGCTCTTCCGCAGTATTCCTCTGCTCTGGCAAAATCTCCTCTAATCTGTGTGAACAAACCAAAGAAAATTTAGTCAATGTTTGAACTAAATCAACGTTGGATAACAAATTGATTGGACGATTCCTCTTCCTCCTATACTTTTACACCAACATGGAATTGCAAAAAAGAGCCTAACAATTCTATAAATAGCAAGCTAATTATCTTGTCTTAAGAATTTCTGTTACCTCTTTCAGAAATTTGGCATAATTCCCAAGCAAAAGCGGGTTGCCAGGATTTGCTTCAATCATCTTCTGATAGTAAACATCAGTGCCATCGTTCCCATGATTATTGCTCTCAAAGAATCCTGAGCCACCACCATCATCCCCACCGTCTGATCCTCCTCCTCCACCAGCACCACCACAGATTTTACCACCATCATTTCCTGCTCCACCTTCCGTCACCTGTGTCTGCATCACATTACTATCTTTACTATCTTCTCCCAACCCAGAATTTGAAAACAGTCTTTGGACTGTAGAAAAGTTGGGCTCTGACTCTTTTTCTTGATCACTTTCTTGCTTTGCTTGTTTGCCAAGAGAGTGGGGTGCTGGTATTATGTCTTTGTCCTTTTTCCTTGGTTTTGGTGTCTCATTTTGGATACTGATATCAGCTAAGGTTTGTGTTAACTTCTGCTTATGATCATCTATGTAAGATGTGCAGAAAAAGGAGACTGATCTGGTTCTTTTGAGAACTGGAAAATCTGGCTCCGGTAATGAACAGGCTTTTGAGTGAGGTAACCACGAGTTTGAGATTGGTGATGATGAGCTTCTCAGCAGCATTTTCTTTGTTCTTTTGAATATAAAATATCTAATAGAAGAACCTGTTTCAAAGAAAGAAATTTTGACAGGGAAGTCAGAGGAGAAGGGAACTCCCCTACTAAGAATAGCAAAGAGCTATGTGCGATTTAAAGAAAAAGAGTAAAGAAACTGCCAATGATTGAATCAGACCCGTCGGATAAGCATGAGCTTAATCCATAAACGACAAAGATCCCAACAGCATATTTGGCTCTGGATGTGTTGGATTCACCAGGTAAGCCCACGGATTCAATTGGTACTTCCTGGCCTCTAAGGCAAGGACACGTCGCTGACAGGGTCAGGCAAGGTGAGCGCCGCACCACAGCCGTATTCTGACTGCATTTTTGCAGCAAAAGTAACAGACGGTCTTGGATTCATTTTGCAATTGATAGGAGTGGCATCAGTATCATTGTCATCTTAAGCTTTGCCTTCATTTTCCTCCAAACCAAGGTTGACGCGTGCTTTGCATTTGAGAGAGAGTTAAACAGAAAAACTTACGTTCAAGGGAAAAATTATTGCTGTTGAACGACATATTTTATATAAAATTTATAATTTAAATTTAATTGATATGTAAATATTAATAATATATAAAAATTTATTAAAAATATAATTTATAATTCGAATTTAATCAATATTTATTAAAAATAAAATTTTATCAATATTTTTATTAAAAATGTCAATCTAAAAAATAAATTAAAATTTTTATAAATTTCACCCACACTTGATCTATGTAACAAAATATTTTAATTTATTAATTTTAATTTTTTTTTATTTAATCATTTTTAGTAAAAAATTTCATAAACTTTATCTACAAAATTTTGTTTAAATCTTTTCCTATTATTAAATACATATGATAATTCATGTCTTTATTTCATTTAAAATTATGTATTTTTATTGTATAAAATGTTAATAATTTATATAATTTATATCTTGTAATTATATCTTAATTCGTGTGGATAAAAAATATAAAATATATTTCTTAACTTTTATTAAAATGTTAAATAATATTATTTTTTGTTATTTTTATAGTATTTTAAATTATTAAATCTACTCTCATTAAGAAACCCATAAAAAGAAACAGATAAGCATTCCTTGATTCATGTCAAATCTGCTTTTATGTAATCTTTCAATTAATATATCCATGTTAAACAGCCACTGCTGCCCTTATAGACATGATAATTTTAATTGCGATAAAATTGAAATTACGAAAATAGTATAAAAATATAAAAATAATTTTATTTAAATTTGAATAAAAATTATATATTAATTATATAAAAATAAAAATATATATTTTATGTTTAATATATCAAATATTTATAAAAAAATTATATTTTTATATATTTATATATATATATATTTTTTATACTTAACACTCCTTGCTATTCAATATTTTATAACACTCCTTGCTATTCAAAGAGAAAGAAGAATAGGAAGTGAAATTAAATCTGCCCGCAAAACTTAATTTAGTTCATTTGATTCATACAATTTTTTTAATAAACAATATTCAATTAGTTTGAGATTCAAATCCCAACATCAGCAATTATGAACAATTTAGCTCTCTAGAAGAGAGAAGCTACTTGACAAGTTGGGCCATATCAATACTAAAAATTATGAACAATTTATTAGCAACCATACTGCAATACCACGCAAGAATGACAACAAAATATTAAATATATAAATTAGAAAACTGAGTAGATATATACTGCATTTTTCTAACTATATCTGTCTATTGGGCATTCATTAGTAGTGCTAATAGATATCCGTCACTAAGACATTCAAACTGGTACACTATCATCTCCTGAGGGCTACCCAAGGTGAGCATAAAAAATCTCTCTCAAATTTATACTACCATACATAGTCCCACTGTGCTACACAAGATTTATACATCATAAAAGGCTCAAACATCGCGGTTCATGACCTTGGTTGCCAGTAATCTATAACACCAACATATTCAGACAAAGTGCGAGCATTACAAAAAAACAGAAGATACAATTTTCTTGAGGATTACACATATTCAAAATACAAAATCAATGCAAAACATAGATTATTTGTCTTTGTCATCGAAAAGAGAACCTCCTTGTCATAAAATGCCCTTATATCATGCTCATGATCCCAGTGGTCAAATATCCAACAAATAGAAGAAGCAACATATGAATCATAATCTAATGTAATTGGTTAGCCTCTACACATGCACTCAAGGAAACAATAAGCATGATAAGCATGCAATGGGCAGTAACAAAAGAATATCATATTAATTGCATCTGAAAAAGGGCAGTGCACTATAAGTTCAAGCATTTAATATGAGGCTCTAGTGATGCATAATAGAGGTATAGATACATGAGTAACTATCACTGGGATCATTTTTTGTAAGCAACTGAGTAGAAAGTGCCCACCTCAACAACACTACATCCCTTTCTACTGCAAACCACAAAAAAAAAAGGAAAAAAAATACTTTTCTGTAGTTCTTTTTAATACATCAGTGACTATATGTTGATTTTACAAAAAATAAAAAAATAAAAAATAAAAACAGTTAACATATTTGTTATTCTTTGTTAGTCTACAACTAGAATAGACCCTTCAAAAAGCATTGAAGGATACTTACTCTCTCTCTCATATCTATTTTAATTCCATCTCACCATTATCTTCGAAGAAAGTGAAGCAAATCATTTTGAGATTGATTCAATAAAAAAGTTACAGGAAAAATGTTTTCATAACATAATTAAACCAATTGGAAATGAAAGAAAATAAAGTACATGTTCAATATTTATATTTGAATTTTCTTCATATATTTCTATTACTACTCTATCTAAGTCTCATATATATATATATATATATATATATACCAAATCAAACTCATACTAGGTTATCTTCTAAATCGAGATCCTTTGTTTGGTCTACCAGAATTCCTACCATCCCATGCAGAGGACCAGAAGAACAGAGACATCCAGAAAAGAACAGCAAAGAAGATCTGCACACGATCTTGAAATCTAGATAACTTTCCTGCAAAACCTGTTATATGAAAAAGAACATAAGACACCAGACCGAACAGGATGCCTTCAAAGCAGTTTCAAATGGAATTTTGACTTCAAATGCAATAAGCAAACAAGAAAGAGAGAAATCAAACTAATTATATGCGAAGAAAAAATATGGGTACTTTTAATACCATCTATTGCATTACTCTTCGCAATAGAAATGACTCACTGCATTTGCAGATGATGTCCAAAATTATGCACTAATGCTTATTTTTTCAACAATTACACTACTTTGTTATATTTGGTGTGCATGAAGGAAAATAATAAGAATAATAATAACAGCATCAACAACAACAATAATAATAATAATCATAACACTCATCCACTCTTGAATAGCTAAAAATGTTACTGATAAACTAAATTTTTCTCTTCTTTTTCTTAATCCAGGAAAAATTAAAAAAGAGTACTCAATAGTTACTATCTTAGATTCTTACTTTGCCTGTGTTTCTCCAAAATTTAGAAACTTCCACTCTCTTTGTCAAAAACTAAGCTTTGAATTCGGAGTTTAGCTCAGTTTGTCCATGCAGCCAACCTTAAACAGGTACCCAATCCAACACCTGATAACCGTTCCTTTTACCAAGATGCGGCTCTAAAAAACCTAAGCTCTAAATTTAAATGATATATTTGGAATTTAAAAAAAAAAAATTTTTTCCAAAAAGATAAACCCGGCAACTAAAACCAACGGAGAAAAAATGAGCAGAAAATATCCAAAGCTTAAAATCTACAGGATTATTCGTTAAAGAAATTAATCTAAGTCAAATAAGAAAGTAGATGAGAAGATGGTGGAAACCTCGGGGACGAGCAGGGTCGGAGTCAGGCGGGGATTGTGGACCTGGGCCGGCCGAGAGAGAACGTCGCGGACGCTTACTAGAATTGGAACGGAGGCGGATTGGGAGAGAGTGACGGTGGGGATGAAAGGGTGAAAAGATCAACGGTTGAAGTGAATATGAATTGAAACTTTTGGAATCGGAGTAAGCGAAAAAATTGCGGCGGTGTGAAAGAGACGAAGCAGAGAAAGTGGTGGCCATTTCCATTTCCGGTGTCTATTCCAGCAAATTTCTTCTGGAAAATTGTGTATCATTTATATCGTGATGGGCTTCGATTACAAGCCTCAATTTGTCTTTTGGGCCTCACTTTTTTATTGTTTTTCATTTGAAATTGGGCTTACCCATTGATAGCCCTCCCAAAACGGGTTTGTTACAAAGTTTTTGTTGTTTGAAATAAAGTAAATATATAATTTTTTTCATGATCACTTACTTCTATTTTTAATATGTACTTATTTATGTAATATAAATCATTTTGTAATTTCATTTGATAGTATAAAATACATACTTACATGAATTTTATTAATTAAAAAATATTAATTTATAAACATGTTCTAAAATAAAGGATTTGAAACAATTAAGAACTATTAATATCTCGATATAATCATCAGTGATGTTTATTTATGCATTTACAAGAGATATTGATTAAAACTACTTTTAATATCGAATATTAATTTCTTTAAAAGCCACTAAATATGCATAACTTACTAAACTATGTTATAATAAGAGTTTAAATAACATATTTTACTTAAAGGTATATCTTATCATAATCAAATAGTTTTTTATGCTATTCTTTAAATATTGAAATACATTTCTCAATTAACTTTGGTTCAATATTATTATTGCTTGTTAAATAATGAAATATAAGAATTCTAAAATTAATAAGATATGACCTATTTTAGATAAATATCAAAAGATATTATTATATTTTGAAAGTAAACTATGTTTTAAATCTTACATGTGAAAATTGATAATGAATATATTTTTAATATTTGAACTCTTTTTTAATTAAAATGGAGAAATTTTTTTATTCGACGAATACTTAATTATATATCTAGTATAAGTCATACAAAAAATTCATCATTTAATCGATATTGTTATAAAATTATAATTTATAAAATTCATACTACTATTAGTATTATTAAATCATATATTTTAATTTAAAATATTATGTACTTGAGAAAATAACTTATAGGTAATTTTTCTATGGTGTTGTCTAATAAGTTTATACTTATTATTTTTTCTTTCATTTTAAAAAATCTTTAAAGACAATAATTTTTGTATAGTTGCTATCAGTGTTATTAAAGCTACCACATAACGCAACAATTTTATTTTTAGTAAAGATATAGCATTAATTGAGTTACTATTAATTTATTATCAAGTAGACAATCAATGATATACAAATTTAGATAAAGTCATTCCAAGTTTTCACTTCAAAAATTAATTTTTTTTTAATAAAATTATGTTGTTATAGTAATTCGTACATGAATATTATTTTAATTATTTATATATGTGTACAATATCTACAAATATTTGTAGTTCAATACCTTAGTATTAAATGGCAATAAATATAATTTTTTAAATGAATCAAATATGTTACACATATTTAAAAAAAATATATCTTTATATCAATATTCAAACAAAACAAAAAAAATTTACTAAGTTGGTAATGATTTACTACTATATATTATCGATGATTTACTATTAAGTTATATCACTAATTTACTATTAAAATATGAATAGTTTATTATTAAGTTATCCATATTTTACTATTAAGCTAAAATTGATTTATTATAATTATCATTAGTTTATTGTTATCACTGATTTATAACTAAATTATAACTGATTTATCATTAAATTATCAATAAATTATGACTAAGTTAACACTGATTTAATATTATAACTAATTTATTACTAAGTTTTGACTTCACTATTGCTAGTAACTAGAGTTTAATCCTTAAAAACTTCAAGTTTAAAAAACTTATTACCGATTGATAACTAAATTATCATTGATTTATTATTACGTTATCAATTATTTATTATTAAATTATTAATAATTTACTATTAAGTTATGAATGATTTACTACTAAGTTATTGATAATTTATTATAAAGTTATAACTAAGTTTTTATAAAGTTATCAATGATTTAGTATAAAATTATCAATGATTAACTAATTTACTACTAAATTGTCATTGATATACAACTACATTATAAGTGATTTATTAGTATGTTATTAGTGATTTACTACTAAATTCAATAATTTAGTACTATATTATTATAGATTTACTAATTACCATTGATCTATTACTAACATTTTAATAATTAGCTATTAAGTTATCAATTATTTATTACTAAGTTATTAATTGAATTACTACAAAGTTATTTTTTATTTACGATTAATTTATCAATAAATTACAATATATGAGATAATTTTCCTTTTATATAATAACATCATTGTTTCATTCAAATTTAAAATTTTTTTACTAAATTTTTTTAATGAATAAGTTCATGGTAGGTTTATTCTAGTTCCTAATGATGAAAGTTCTAACCTTGCTTTTTCTAGTAACCAAGGTTCAATCATCGATAACTTCAAGTATAAAAAAATGTTATTACTAATTAACAAATAAATTATTAATTACATATTTTTATCTTATCACTGATTTATTATTAAATTATCATCAATTTATCACTAAGTTATACATCATTTACTATTAAGTTATAAATGATTTACTACTAAGTTATTGATAATTTACTATTAAGTTATAGATAATTTATTATAATGTTATTACTTATTTACTATGAAGTTATTGATGATTTACTATGAAGTTATTAATAATTAACTAATTTACAATTAAATTATCATTAATTTATAACTAAATTATCATTTATTTACAATTAAGTTATCAATGATTTACTGTGACATTATTGGTGATTTACTACTAAATTATCAATAATTTATTATTAAATTATTAATGATTTACTATATATTATTATGCATTTGCTTCTATATTATTATTGATTTCCTATTGAGTTTTAGAAATTAACTACTAAATTATCATTAATTTATTGCTAAGTTATTTATGATTTACTACTAAGTTTATAATTTAATTATTATTAAACTAAAACAGATTTACTATTAAGTTATCAATAAATTACTACTAAATTTTTATTGATTTACTACTAAATTATCAATAATTAACTATTAAGTTATCATTTTTTTATTAAGTTATCATTGATTTACTGCTATGCTATTATGCATTTAAAATTATGTTATAATTGATTTACTATTAAGTTGTTATACATTTACTATTATATTATTATTGATTTATTACTAAGTTATCAATTATTTACTATTATTGATATACTATTAAGTTATCACTAATTTACTATACTAAATTGTATCACTGATTAACTATTAATTTATCAATGATTACTATTAAGTTATATTGATTTACTTTTAAATTTCAATTATTAATTACTACTAAATTCTAAATTATTTACTACTAAATTATCATTAATTTATTTTAAGTTATTTATGATTTATTGCTAAATTTATCAATTAATTACTATTCCCTTTATCTATCCCAATTGACTTTTTTTTGTTAAAATTTTCTAATTTTGAAATTTATTATTTTAAATATTTTAATAAATTAAATTTTATAAAACATATATTTAGAAACCACTTAATTTAAAGTTTTTAAAAATATATTTTTCATATTTTTATCAATAATAAATATAAAATAATAAGTGATTAAAGTTAAAAAAATTAACCAACAAAAATAAAAAAGTAACAATTTTAATGGGATGGAGGAAATATTAAACTGAATCTTATTTACTATTAAATTATTATTAATTTATTACTAAATTATCATTGATATACTATTAAGTTATCACTTATTTTTATTAAATTATCCTTAATTTACTACTATATTTTTGTGTATTTACAATTATGTATAAATGATTTACTATTAATTTATTTGTTATTTACTACTATATTATTATGTATTTATTATAATGTTACCACTGACATACAATTATCTTATCAATTATTTAGTATTAAATTATTATTTATTTACTATTATATTATTATTTATTTACTACTAAGTTATCCACAATTTAATATACAATTATCATTAATTTAATATAAAATTATTATTGATTTTATCTAAATTATCACTAATTTTCAACAAAATTATCAATAATTTACTACTTTATTATTCTTTCTATCTTTATTTGTTTATCTTGTAGTGATTTTCACAGAGTTTAAGAAAAAAGTTTTAACTTTAATATATTTAATATTAAAATTAAAATTTTTTTAAAAATTAAAGTTTTATGATTTTTAACATTAAAAAATAAATTAAATTTTTATGATTTTTAATGTTAAAAAGTAAAAAAAAAATCATAAAAAATAATTTAAAATATAAAAAAGTAAGAGTTTTAAATATTTGAAACAAAAAATAAAACATAATTTTGGGACATCCAAAAAAAAAGATAGATAAAGAAAATAAGACAAAGAGAATATTATGCATTTACTACTATATTATAATTTCTTTACCACTAAATCCTTTATAATTAATTTAATTGTGTAAAACATATTAATAGATGTAATATGTTACAAACACTAAAATATTCATACGTAAAAAAGCTATTTTAAATCTTCCGTATTGCTTACGTTAAGTGAGGTATGAATGAGTTAACTAAGAAAAACTAATAAGAAAATAAATAAAAAGTAGATAATATTTTAATTTGCTAAAAAAAAGATTAAATAAAAATAAGTAGAGATAATTTAGTAAATTATCATATTTTATATATAATATAGATATATATTAAACATTTTCTTAATTATAAAATCTTTCATTCAAAGTAGGCTATAAAATCTAAAGTATGCATATATTTGTCAATATTCTAAATTTTTTGCTAAAATTTAAATAACTATTTATAGTAAAGTTGGCTAAATTTCAAATTGAACACTTTTTACACATTAATTGAAAAAAAAAATTTAAGCTTACGTTATCATCTTTAATCTAATACCTTTTTTTTCCATCATTTTCATATATATTATGATACATTGACCGATTGAGTAATAAAAAACCTAACTTAAAAATCTTAGGATCTATATAAAATATTAACTGATTCATTTATCTTGTTTATATATATAATTTAATTTTATCAATTGAGTTAATTTTTTATCTTACTTGTAAGACTATATAAATAGACATATTTTATTCCACATTCTCATACTTCAAATTTTTTATCATACGACTAATAAGTTCAATTATAAATCTTCCTTTCTTTATGAATTGAAGAATTAGTTAGATATATATGATTGGCACATAGTGTATTATTAATAGGAGTCTAACAAATTAAAAAATTACTTTTAATTGGAGTTCACATTTTTTAATGTATATATCATAGATGATATATTTATTTAGGTATAACAAACACACTCATAAAAATATAACTAATTATTAAATAGATACTTTTATGATAAGAATTCAAATCAATAATCATATATTTTAAAGTCATGTTTGATGCATAAACTTATTAATAGGATAAGATGATAATTATCCTACATCATATTTGATTTGTATTTAAGGAAAGGAATATGGATTGTAAAGAAAATTAATATCCTCTTGGTATAGAATTATTTAATCCTCTCCAAGTGGAGATGGTTATTTTTAATCTATGAGATTAAATTTACATGTTCAATTACACTTTTAAAAATTATATCAATAATTTAAATTGTATAAATTTTGAAGAAGAATAATTTTGACAGATAAATAAATTATCCAATCCTAATATTTGTATATATCAAATACAAAATAAGATGACATATTTTAATCTAATACTATTCATAATATTATCTTATCCTATCCTCATATAATTTTGTATACCAAACATGACCTAAGTATATAAACAAATAAAATGAAATGAACTATAAGATTATTGTTTCAAAGAATATAATAATTAGTTAGAGAACTAACAAAGCTTTGATCATTCAATAAAACGAGCATAATTAATTAATATTTTTTACTATCAAAACACAAAAATATGTTACAGTATTCTTATTTGAAAAAAAATAAATTTATTTTTTCAAAGAAAAATCATAAAATATATTGACAATATAGTTTTTAAATTTCACAAATGAAATTAGCAGCAGGATAAATACCTTTTAGACTTTAGAGTATATTAAAAAAAATATTTAAAAAAAAGTAAGTGACGTGTTAATTTCTTAACCCACTTGTAGAGATAAAAAAAAAACTTAACTAACAATGTATTAAATAATTTCTTTTCTTCAAGATTACTGTTTCTTAACAATATTGTCTTTTGTTTTATAAAAATATCTTAAGTATTAAATATTTGAAATTAAATATAAAATAATAGATAGACCAAAATTAATTTAGGTGTAGTATAAAATTAAGCTATAGAAGATAAAATAAAAACTAAGTTTAATAACAATTCAATGGTACATGAGATTATGTTCATAAAGTAAAGATTCATTTAGGTATTATAACGTTAAGGCGTAATTGCATAGAGTGATTAGAAATATTATAATCAACAGTTGCAATCATAAACAAATAAATGTATATTTATCATAAAAAAAATCAAACATATAAACTTACCATAATATGTATATTACTCTTTTTTAATAATTTTTTTGATAATTTAATTTATAATTTACATGAACTTTAATTTTAATTAATCTAAAATAAATAAATAAATAATATAAATATATTTAAGGACTCATGATATGTACCATTAAAAAAAATAAAAAGTAAATTAAATTGTATTATATCTTTACTTAATATAAAGTTAAATGTTTTAAGAGCATACATATTATGATTTAATAATTTAAGCTAAAACAATTAGTAATTAAGAAACAGAGAAAGGATTTTGTTTATGTTTTAATGAATATCACAAACTCATAATATGTCACAACCTATAGGATGAGAAAAATGTTTTATATAAATTTGATTGAATTATTATTTATAAAATTTAACAAAAAAATTCTAAAAATAAAAATGAGAGTAAATTTGAGTTAATTTTGGACAAAAGATCTTCCATATCCCATAAATAAAATTTTAATGTAGTTTAATTTAATATAAATTTTATTTGTAAATTTTTAATTAATTTAAATTTAAATAACTAATAAATAAAAAGCTATATGCTTAATGACAAATAATTATTATTAAATAAATAATGCTAGAAATTGAAATATAAATTTGTTATTTTTTAAAAATTTATAAGGATGTTTATATTATTAATTTTTAACAGTTTTAGATTTAAATTTAAATAACTAACTAATAAAAATTATATATTTAATGACAAATAATTTTTTTAAATAAATAAAAATATTAAAAATTAAAGATAAATTTATTGTTTCTTAAAATTTATAAAAATATTTATATTGTTCCCTTTTAATACTTTTAAAGTTTATATTTTTAAATATAAATAGATTATATTTTTAAATATAAATAGATGATATTTTTAAAAATTTAAGTACGCAAGCCTAATAAAAACGTACTAAAAATGTGTTATCAGCACTTGTCCAAACCTTTTATTCCCATTTCAATTCACACAAAGCCACTGATCATGAAGCGAAAAAAAAAAAAAAAGGACACCCTAAAAGTAGTAATCAAGTTCAAACATGACCCCTTCAATGGATTTGAACTTCCTTCACATCCTTCTTGGGCTGTTCAGTTCTTGGGATGATAAAAGAAAGAACACCATCCTTCAACTCAGCCTTAATGTCATCAACTTTTGCATCATCAGGCAACACAAGGCTTGTGTTATAGTAGCCATAGCTCCTGGCAGACCACTGCTCATCTTCCGCTCCTTCTTCTGCCTTATGCTCTCCCTTTATCGTTAGAACCCCATTATCAATGGTGATCTTAATATCCTCTTTGGTTAGCCCTGGCACATCGTACCGCAATTTATAGCAGTCGTCTTGCTCTTTTACTCGCCCCATCATCTGTGAAGGTGTCAAGTTGAGGTTGTCGAATAGCCTGTTTATGTTTTCAGTTGCTTGCAGGAGTGCATTCCCAAGGCCTGATGGGAAGAATTCTAAGAAGAAAAAGAGTCAGTAGATTCATTCTTAATTTGTAAAAAGAACAACAAAATTTAAACCCAAAATTTAGCTCAGTCAATTTAAGTAGTCATCCATCTTAAAGTAATATACAGAAAATATGATATTCCAATATCAACACATGCAATCTCTTTCCTATTCTTAGACGAGCTCCTTTATAAAAACAAAATAATAATAATAATAATAATAATAATAAGGACTAAAGAGATCATATATACCATAAAGGCGAGGAGCATAGTCGTGTTGTTTATTTCTCCAATTCCAGAGACTTCTCTTGTTTTTCCTCCTTGGGTAAAGCCTGGACTTCTTTTCACCTTCAGAAACAGATACTTCTTGGCCTTCTTTTTTCTCATCAGAGACCTTACCAGTAGTTGTTGCCATGAACCTCATCAAAATCTCATCATTCCACTTTTGCCTTAGGTCATGACCCAAAAAAGACGAAGAAGGGGAAACCCTTTGTTGCAAATTTCTCAAAGCTAAACGAGCCAGTGCCATTTTTGTGCAGAGTAAAATGGTGTTTCAAAGTTCAAAAGGCAGGCAGACCAAGACAATGGTGGCGCTTGTGCTTGTTTCGTTTATGCTTCTTGTTGTTGATGTTGAGGGTTGAAATTTAAGGCAGTGTTGGCCCTGTTAGGTTTTGGATTTTGGTCGATTGGAGGAGTGTTCTGCGAGGTTCTAGGACTCGAGGAGCTGCTGGAGAGACATCAAAAAAGGCACACCCACATCAGCATGTTGTTATCTTAAGCATTCTCAAACATTACAAGTGTTACCCTGGAGGAGTGTTCCAGAGGGAAAGGCATCCGATGCCACATCTTTTCTCATTTTATAAGGGATTTCTTTCCTTGTCCAAATGATATATGTTGATTTTAAATATCAGCATTTCTCTATTTTTAAACTATTGGCATCTTATTAAAAATAAAGTAATTTTTGGCATTGGGAATTTTCTACTATTTATTTTAAAATTCTGGGATTATTTTTAAAGAGGAAAGTTTCAAATTCCATGACATTCAAGCTTTCTATGTATAAAAGATTCATATGTTAAGACTCACTCTAAAGTAAAATTAGATAGAAATATAACTATCTCTACAATTTCTTCTTATGATAAAAGGTAATTAATAAGAAACCATCAAATATCAATGCCTTCTGCTCATGAGGGAGAGAAATCTCAAGCAACTTCAATCTTTCCATGCAATCCATCCCAGACTAAGGCAACAGTTCAGCCAACAACTTCCATGTACCAAAGGCAGAATTGGTCTACAGGGGGGTAACCTCTTATTTCATCTTAATTGCATAACTAATGGAAGCCAGAGTCTTTAATCCTGGAAAGGAAGGGAGAGTCACATTTAGGCATAGACATGAATTCGCTAAGGTAGTAGAATCCCAGGCTGGAGTCTGGATAGTTAAAGAAAGTCAAAGAAGCCAACTCAAAGAACCCTCGGCTTGTGAAAGGGAAGACCATATGCTATTCAAAAAACTCAAACTACATGGAATATTTGTTGAAAGCATCCCCACCATATACCTTTTGCTTTATTTTTCTTGCCTCAAGAAGTCCTATTCTACCCAAGCAACAGTTCCCAAGGGTATCATCACTTTTATTCTGTCAGTACATGCTGAAATTAATGAAAACAAACTAATACTTTGCAATGGGATGTAGCGTTAACAGTGATATATGCAAGAAATTTTCCGAAAAAAAAAAAAAAAAACCACCACCTTGAATACCGGAGGCAGCCAGTATTTTTTTTTGGATTAGTTTCAATGTAGTACAATGGCTTGTCCAAAATGCCTGGCGTTGGGAGAGAAAAAAAATAGAAAAAGGGAAGCCACAGGCAGGCAAGACTGAAATTGTTACAACTGATATACACTCCAGGCTATGCTCTAATGCTTTTCCATATTGAAGCAATTAAAATGTCACAAGTAAGATGGATATTAATATCTAACCATCTTTTAAATGTACTTGTTGCACTGTTGCTTAGTCATACAATCCTTCCTTCTCCCAGACATCGACAAGAAAATCTATCATTTCCTGTCAATTTTCATGAGAACACAAATCAGGTAACCAAGCAATTCATGATTATATGAGCTTGATGGAGTTGGTACTTACAGGAAGAGGAATAGGCTGAGGGAATGGCTTGTTGCTTCCAAGTAAACTTTCATAAGTCGCATTCCAACTGCAAAGCCAGAATTGTTTAACCATGCAGAGACAATGAGTGCTGACAAGATAAAGGAAAAAAAATATATTCATAAATATAATGGGTATATACCAGAAGAGGTTCTTCCTCAGTGCACACAAATTGCCATTTCAAAGTTTACTAACATAAGACACAGGTTCCATACCTCTGGATTTTGCTGAAATCAGTATGCTTGACACAACTAAGACACTGAAAAATGATGCAAGCACAATGCATTGTTGCAGGTATCACTCTTATGTTTGTAGAAATACAAACATTAACCTTTTTGTTTTTTCTTCCTTTTAATCTTCAAATCTTAAAGGCTGCAGCAATGATTGCCAGAAACCAAAAGTCAACATCCGAAGAGAATAAAGATGTGCCTTAACGTAAAAAGCCCAAGTCAAGGGGTGGAGAGAAAAACCAAAGAAGTCATACATAGCAACCATAGAAAGGGACCTCACTTTACTGAGCTCATAGAGGATATGGTTGTAACAAAGCATGGTTATATGATTCATGTAGCCAACCCGCATATGTAAACTTCTTGTCATTATTGTATTTATTCTTTAAACAGATTTAAGGTTTGGTAGCGCAAATCAACATTTCAAGGTCAAAGCCTGCTAAAATGCGAAACAACTAAATCTGCTCCCTTCTTCACACAATTTGAAGCTGAAATTTCAATTTGTAGAAATAAAGATTTCTTCTATTTTTATTGTGCCTTTGCATAGCCTCAATAAAAGAAGTGAACCATGATTATAAAATGGTCAATGCTTAAACTTAATTAAGTAGAAATGATTCATATCTAGTAATTCCAAACAAAATGCTGACTTAGATGCCTTCAGGAATTTAAACGATACATACAACATAAATGGAACTAATTAATGTCCTCTATCTTATTTTCTTAACTGCAAATAAATTTGCAGGTTGATGAGAGTTCGTAGGAAGAATTGTAATTGAAGACCTTAAAACCTTGGGAATAAAAGAAAAAAAAAACACTAATTTAATATATTCTGACAAGAACTCACTTTAGTTTGGGTTCCTGAACCCGTCGTAGTCGATTTTCACACTTCCTGTTTCCCACCCAAAGCTGCCTAGTTTGATTCCAGAGAAGAAGGCCTGCAATCGAGAGCAGTCTTAAGATGGTGCATATACAGCCTCATCTTATGTAGTGCCAAAAGGGATTCAAACAGGACTATCCAGATAGGAAGGTAATCCTTATGAAATTTTACTGTTCATAGAGCTGTCAGATTATACATTAATCCAACCAAAGTAAAGAACTGAGAACTTGCCATGATTTACAAATTCAGAGGGGACATTAGCACTTGCAGCACTGCCATGCGGATCAAGTGTCTGGTTGCTTGCACTGATCGATGATATGCTTCCTTGTGACCGCACTGCACTGTTATCCATATCACAAGTGCTAGTGGTCCAGAAATCTTCCAATATACTCGCTTTCCTCACTGTCTGACCTTGAACTTTTAATCCTTTTGATGATTCATTCGCCGAGGGGTTGAAAGTGGGCCTCTCATAGCATCCTAGATAACCACTGCTCTGTTACAAATCACAACGTAAATGATTAGTACCAGCCACCAAAAACTCTTGAAGAGACTAATACTCATCAAATGATAATTACATGAATTCAAAAGGCCACATGAATGCATGCTTTACATGTTATGTAAAGTATAATAACCAGCATGAGAAGATGTGTCGAAATAACATAACTTGCTACAAGGACATGAAAGAAAGTCACCACCTTACATAGCCAACAAGTACATAATACAATAACAAGAACAAAGCCTTTTCCAACTACATGGGGTAAGCTAAATTTCGCCATTGTATTCTATTTAAGACCATATCCTAACTAAAACCATTGAAAGCAAGGTCCTTTATGATAATTTCCTACCGTATCTTCTTTGGTCTCTCTCTCCCCCTTCTGATATGAGCATTCTCCATGAAATCATATAATCTAAGAAAAAGCATTGATAAGCCTTCTTCTCACATTTCCAAACCAGTTTACACATGTCTCTCTCATTTTATCCTCAATTGGCACCAGCCCCATCTTTCCTCTACTGCAGTCATCTTTTAGTACAAACTTTTTTGCACATCCATACATCCATTGGAGCATCCTCAACTCAGCCATGCTAATTTTATTTTTGTACGTGTGGCTACTTAAGAACCCAACATTAGCTATCATAGAGCAGTGCTGGTTTTCTAGCTGTCCCCTAATTTTTAGCTTAAAAGGTATTTTGCATGCACAACTTCTAAAGCACTTCTCTGTTTTAGCCAATGTCTTGTGGATTTGTGGGTAACATCTGCATCAATACTACCATCATTCTACATGATTAAACCTATGTACCAAATCTGTTCAATTTGCAGTAGGTTTTTTTCTCCATTTTTTAGTTGCTCCATTAACAATCCTTTTTTTCTTTACTCACAATCCATGTACTCTTAGACCAGCCTAATCAGAAACCTTTTGTCCTAACGTTTCCCTCCAGAATTCAAGCCCATGTTAATCCTTATTTTAGTCCCATCCAGCAGAACCATATTACCAACAAAAACCATACATCAAAATACAGTACTTCGGATACACCTATTAGGTTCATCTATTAGCAGGACATAGAGCTTAGGAATCAAAGGGAGCATATCACCTACAACTATTGTAGTGCAATTAACCAATTGTAATTCAGTATTGTGTAGGGTCCATAAAAAATTATGTAGCGCCCACACTTTTAAGTGGTGGACACCTACATAATTCTTTGTTGTGTTGGCTAATTGCAATATTGTAGTAAAGAGAATTGTAGATGAAATGTTCAGGATCAAAGTGATCCATGACACAAACCTATTACTACGCAGAACAATTCATGAAAATTCAGCTTATACACTTGAATCCCAAGCTTCAACTTGTTGGAACAAAGCTATCAAGTAAAACCTACAAAAAGGGCCCCCTAAAGAAGTAAGCTTCCCTTAAAGGGAGTCTGCTGGGAGTTTTATCTGAAAACACAACTAATCAAATCCATGACTGAAATCATGCACTAACCTTGAACAATAATTCCCAGCATTGTGGCTGGGTTACTAAGAAAACATCCCTCCATAATGGGCTCAACACATTTAACAAATTAGAAACTGAAACCATGGTACGGCATTTCTAAGTCCTTGTGTTGCCATATCTAATCAATCTCAACCAAAAATCATCAATGATCACTTAATAAAAAAAGGGTTATCCACTACACCAGAACCCTACACCAGACCAGAAAATTTCACAGTTTACCAACACTAATAAGCAGCGCATAAAACCCCATGACTAAATGCTACATATCAAAAATATCAAATCCATCAAAAACCAAATCAACTTTTTTTTCTTTTACAAACGCAACTGTAGTGATTGCAAAGAAACTAGCCACAACAAAAACTAATAATCAACATGGTAAATCCTGCACTATCAAATTATTACAGACCTAAGCATGTCAATTCCTTAAGAATAAAAAGGGAGCAGGAGTAAAACAATATTCAAATTGGATTTCATTTCCCTTCACCAAAATGTTTACAAAGGAATCGTAAACTCAGGACTTAAAATGTGAAAAAACAAAAAAAAGAATCTTTCCTCTATTTTCCAGGCCACTGTAAAAAAAAAATATTCCATTTACTCAAACCCCACATTAAACCAACCAAAGAGGATTCCAATATACAAACATATTCAACCAAAAAAAAACCCAAACGTTTCACTAAAAGCTCCATAAAATAACAAAATCAAATAATTAGAGAAAAAAGAGAGAAAACTTACCCCATATATACAAAACAAGAACTAGCAGAAGCAAATACAGATCTGCAAATCAATGGGAATCTGATTTCCTGAAATGAAAGATCAAGAGAACCCTTGAGCAACCAAAAAGTAATGAAATTTATGGAATGAAACAAAAATCAAACAGTGACATATCAACAAAAATTAAATATTTGATTAAAATTAAATAGTAACAAAATCTTTTCTTGGGAAAAGATAACAAATTTACCACTAAAACAGTGTAAAAAAATTGAGCTTTCTTTGTTCTATTTGGTGTCTATATCTTTTCTTTTCCTGAAATTAAATCTTGAAAGTTGCCTTTCCTTGATTATGCCTTTCAGATGAAGTTATGGAGTCTTTTATTTTCTCTTTTCTAGTAATTTGGGAAAATTCAAGAGAAAAAAAAAAGACAAAAGAACAAGAAAAAGGTGAAAAAATACTACAGCTAAAGGTTACACAGACAAGAGAGTTTAGTTCAAGCTTTTCAGAGGTGTTCCTGTTAACCCTCTTTTTGTTTATAACTCGCCAAACTCATGCCCAGTAAGTAAGTAAGTAAGTATCTAAATAAATAAAATATATAAATTTGTTTTTTGTTTTTTAGATTTTTTAAATTAATAATATTAATTTATGATTATTTATATAATATTATATATATTCATTTTTAATATTTTGTTTTATTTTTAAAAATATTTTCCACCTATATTTTGATATTACATTTTATTATAAAGTAAAGAACCAAAAGTATAAATAAATTAAATTAACTTAGAACAAAAGTGTATTATTCTCAATTAAATGTAAATTAATTGAAAATTTATCTCATTCACTGTCACAATGAAATTTTTAAACTTCATAAATAAAATTAACAAAATAACACAAACCTATTAAGATATATTAAAAATAAAAAAAATTAATTAAAAAATAATAAATAAATATTAATAAAAATTAAAATAAAAATCAAGAAAAATTACTTTTAAATATTTTAAAAACACCCTTTTTTCTTCAAACAAAACACACATACTGAAAATTTAAGTTAACATTAAATAAAAGCAGATGAAATGCACATATTTGTTAGAACATCATTTCAAGAAAGAGGTTTTAAAGAAAGAAATATTGAGAATTTTCAACATTGGCATGCCTACCTATCTCCAAATTCCAAACTTCCAAGCATATAATATTCTTAGAACTATCACCTAAATTTTGAGGTAAAATTTAAAGACTAAAGTAGATGATAAATTCAACAAGAAAGCTAACACATGGTTCTAAGAAAGGTTAAATCATTGCAATTTTTTTTTTTTTTTTGGATTCAAGATAAGGTTCTTAAGCACATTTCTTTCACTCAAGTTATATAATTAGGATTGCAACTTTGAAACTATAGCTTGGTGCATGCCAATGTATATTTGTATGCTACATATTTATGCAAACAAATTACATAAATTTTATAGCCATTTGACACTACTTTTGTTATTTTAGTTTATAACAATTCCATATTTCAAGAGATTTAAGAGTTTTTTTTTTTTTTATTCAAGGAAGGAAGTACACAAATCTATTTTTAAAAATTTGTTATATATTTATTATTAAATCAAATACTTAGATGTGAATGGGTTAAATATTTAATAAAGTACATTTCATAATTAAGTAAAACATAATATAGACCCTAAATTTGTCATATTGTTGAGGAATTAAAGCATTGGACTAGACCAACTTACCAAGTCCATTTCAACTAGAGAGGCCTAGTTAATATGAGGCTCATGTTAAGAAATTAATATTTTTTTTCTTTTTGCTTTTACAATTTTTTTCAAAGAAGGGAATGTATTGGTACTAAAAATTATAAAAATAAAATTCATAATTTAATTTAATTTAATTTTTTAATTATTTTTAAGAGATGACATTGGATAAGTTTAAAATTCAATTCACACACCTACAACCATTTCATCTATCTTTAAATTACGATTTTTTTTTGTGAAAAACAAAAAAATATTTAAATTAATTAAAACTATGAAAGAAAATGAGATTATTGTTCATATTAAATTTTAAAAAATGGAAATGGAATGCATAATAGGCATTGACTTGCAATATAAAATTTGCATAACAAAAAAATGAAATATAGTAACACCACAAAGTAATGTGCCTAATATACTAATAATTGGAGAGAACTTAAAAAAAAAAAAAGAGGTGGAATGATTCACTTACAATAATATAAATTTTACATTTTTTATTTTTAATTAAAATAGCTAAAATTATAATTATTATTTTGATCCAAATTAATTATAAATTAAAATTTAATTGAATGATTAAAAAGTGAAAAGCTTATACTTAATAAAAATGCATCGTATTTATAATAGAGTGAAGATGTTAATACACATAGAAAAGGGAATCAGCTCCAATTATTTAGCAATTAAATAGAATAATTCATCAAAAACAATAAATTCATAACCATAATGGTTGACCGGAGCCAAACCAACCACTTCCACCATTTAATTAATCTTCTCATCCCAAATTAATTAATTTTTATAAAATTAATAATCAATAAAGCCTCACCAACAAATCATGAAAGTATCAAATTAATACATAGAAATGATTAACAAGTGATTGATTTAATCGATTAAGGTTCATCTTTTTTTACGAAGAGATCTTGAGTTTGAATCCTATCGATGATAACTTGTTAGAATCATCTCAAATGTACAATTTATAAGCACTTGTTTTAGATTGTCAGGTACAGTACATCTTATCTTGACCTGTAAAACTAAATAATTTATTTACTCTTGATTTTTTTTTACAAAAAAAAAATTGTAGAAATGCGTTCTTAAAATTGTTTGAGAAAAAAATTTAAATTCATACAAAATTTAAAAATATCTATGATTGTTTTATTAAAAAGATTATAATAGAACCCTCCCTGGAAAGAAATGAAAAAGAAAATTCAAAGGTAAGTATCAAATTAATTGGTCTTACTTGATTTAATTTTCTTCTCTTATAAGACTCTGATTCTCAATAATTAAAAGACTGATTGAAGAAGAGTTTCATCCATGGCAAATTGGCAAGTGGATCTTTGCCAACTTACCAAAAATTACAGTACTACTGCTAATAGTAGCTACGTGTTTAATGTGGTCCATTTATTTTTGTTTGGTCCTCAATGTCCTAACTAAAATGCCCATCATCAGATAGTTGATAAAATCAAATAAAATCTGGTGGGTTCAAATGAATTGAAAATGAGTCGTGTAAGCAACATATGGTACAGGATAAGATTTGCTATCCCAATTTCCAATTGGATTGTAAATGTGTCATTTCATTTTCTTTTCTTTTTTACTTTTTTTTAATGTTTTAACTAATAAAAGTTACTAATTGATGACATTTGCCGTTCAAATACCATCCTATTGGTTGGAATTTATTATATATATTTTTTTGTATTTAAAATTTTCAAATTTTAAATACTAATTATTAAAATAAAAAATTCAACACTTAATCGACGATCATGCAAGCGGTTGACACGAAATTTACAGTCTTTGCCAAACATTCTCGTGGAGAAAACCCATAATTTGGACAAAGTTCCTTCATTTACATTCTAAACAAGCAGATAAAAGAAAAAAACAAGTCTACAAAAAAGGAAAAGGAAAAATGAAAGAGTTGACAACCCCAGAAAAGTCTCGGAAAAACTTTACAGTAATCAGTATGAACACTCCATTTTATGGAGGCGGTCCCTCAGAATTCCATTGTACAAAGCAATCCTATTTGCCGGTATTTCATTTCTGCAAATTCTATCAACATTTCTTGACCTTCCTGCCGTTGTTGCTGTTGCTGCAATTAACTTCTTGTCTCCATTGCCGCTTGTTTCCTTCACACTCTCAGCAAACTGCACTTTCTTCTTCTTTTTATCCTTTTTCTTTCCCACTACAAAAAAGCCCCCCAACAATCAACAAAAAAGTAGTCACAATTTAGGAAGGAAACAAATAAAAGAAATCCATCGCCCTGTACCTGAAGACAAGCAAGAACGAAGAGTTTGCTTAGGAGGAGACAAGTTTTTTTGCCTGGAAAAAGTGAAGAAAATAACAGTGCTGGACACAACCATGGCTGTAGCTAAGACCAAACCCTGTGAACATATTCCTGACGACATAGTGGCACGACCTGACAGGAAACTGTAAGACACCACCGACGAAAGATGTAGTTTAGACTAGCTTGTTGCCTTTGTTTATATATAGAATACAAGTAAAAAACTTTGTACACTGGGTAAGTTGGCGTGAGAATCTGAAATTCTCTGGTTTGGTTTGCTTTTTGTGGTGTTTGGTTTGGGGTTTTGTCGATCTATAATGGCTAAATGAAAGGAAAGGGGAAGATGAGAGGAACCTTCGGAACAGGTCATGGGTCAACAGAGTCCTCATGGACTTCTGGAACATAGAAAAAGGAACCAACGGTTCTGTTTTTTAAATAAAAATTGGGAATGTGGGTTAGGTGTGGAAAGAAGCGTAAATTTATGGGGTGTGGAGCCATTGGTTGGTTACTTGTTTAGCATTTTAAAGATTCTTATAGCGTCGAGTTGATCAACGTGTTATTAGAATTTATATATAAAAATGATAGATTTAAAAAAATTTATATATGTAATTTTTTAATTATATAAATATTAAGATAGATATATAATTGAAACTGACATCTGAAAATTATAAATTTAAAAAATTTGTGTGTAATTTTTTATTAAGAGAAAAAATTTAAAAATAAATTAAAAACTTAAAAGTTACCTATGATTGTGTTTTAATGGTATATATGAGCACAAACAAAAATGAAAAAAAAAATAAAAAGAAACCCATACATTTTGATAGCTCAGCAAACTCGCCAAAAAAAATCAGTTGTAGTGGATAAAATCTTATGACCAACACAAACTTTGTTACACGTGGAGGCACAGAAGACTCGAGACACCTCACTCGGAAGAACAGCTAAGCACCAGGTGTCCAATCATTCATGTGAAATCACGCTCCCATTCGTACACGATTTTGACACTCTTACACGTGGCCGGCGTGGAGGAACTCCTTTCTATGCAATGATCAGTCTGGGCCATGTTTCTTAGCTTACGTGTACCAGTTTTTTTTTTCTCATTTACAATCCAAATTTTAATAAAACAAAAATATATTATTAATGTAATTTTTTAATTTCATGAATAGAATTAATAAAATAATTTATATTTTTTAAAATTATATTTAAAAATACAAAAATAGACATATATCTTTATATTAATTTCATTTATAAAATTAAAAATTTTGTGATAATGTATTAATCAATATATCGTATATTAATCTTACTTTTTCCTAAGGAATTTTGGTTTTATAGACAAGTTGGCAATTTGCAGTAATTGCTATTACCAAAAACCTAGGCAAGGTATGAAGATATTATCACTTAACATTGAGGCAAAGATCTCAATCTAAAATTTAATTTAATTAATTTATATAATTATTTTTAAAAATTAATATTCAACATATGTAAAATTAAAATTTAATTTTTACCAACCCTTTTTTATCCATAGCTGTAGCCACATTTATACCAAAAAAAAAAAAAAAACCCCTCTAATTAGTGAGGATAGGAGGGAGATAATCAGATTTGGCACCAAGAAAATGAACCTTTGCGTCGGAGAAGAACTCAATGCCTGGCAGTTCAGTGACAATTCCATCACTAGAACGCCTAAGGTGTAGCGGAACAGGTATCCAAGCATTATCTCGGTCAAGTGACTTACTTGAATACAAATCCCAATATTTGTCAGCAATGTGGTTCATCTTCCTCACACACTCCTCACTTTCAGGAATGAATTGAGGAAGGTGTCATCAAGCATGCCAAGGTGCTCATACCACAGTGCCAAACGGAAACCATGGACCTGATCTCGCGCTGGTTGCCTATCTGACAAATGATATGGTTGATAGGCTCCATGGCTATCTCAGAGTCTCTAGCACCATCCATTGATCTTTGGTTGATTTTGGCTGATCCAATTATTATGTGTTCATCATCAACTACAGAAAGCAAAGCAAACCAAAGTTAAATGAAATGTAGGAAAGAAAGATAAAGCCATTTTTTCTTCGTCCCACTAGTGGTTTAAACAATTAAGGACCTCCTATCTATTATCCATAAACATATATTTCAACCAAAATGAAAGCTAAAATTTAATAAGCAGTAATAGGTGAGGTGAGTGCATTGTGTTATTTTGAGGTTTTCATCACCTACCAATCATCATTTTGGCATGAACATAGGTCATGAAACGACAGGCCTCCTGTGCTCTGGCATAATCTGTATCAGGCTCTTGTTTTTTTTAGAAGGTTCATACTTCATATTCTCCACTCGTCTTCACCACCCTATTCTCAAGGTAGAAGAATGTTAAATAGTTTCAGGGAATCTCCTCAATACCCTTAGCTCTGAGAGCCTGAATGACATATCTATACATCACGTCCATCGTCCTTTTCTGCCAATCTAATATTGCCTGAATTGATGCACTCTATGGATTTCCTTCTGGCCACATAGGGATGACAACATAAACTTTAAACCTCTCTCCTGCCTCAATCTTGGTTACAATCTTAAGTGAAAGCTCTTTTGGGATCAGATACAAAGCATTAATATCTTCATGTTTAATGTCATCAGGACTCCAGCCGAAGGAGCTTCCAAGGAAGTATTGATTTTCAATATAGATATAATTCTTTGTTCGTCGGATAGCATTAATATAGGCATCCTGAATACTTCGGTCAATGATATTCTCCTTTCCACAGACAAGCCCAGCCCTCGCAGCATCTTCAAGTGTCTCAGGAAACCAAAAGCAGCCCCACCATCAAGTGATCTAAATAACTACACATTTCAAGTCTCATGGTCATCAGAGAACATGATTGGTGATGGGGGAATGATGATATCTTCAAGTTCCCTCAGCTGAATAAGCACATCTTTACCACCTCGTTGTCTCCATCTTTGCTCAAAATTAAACTAGACATCCCAAGCAATTGGCCCTTCAGGTTGGGAGTGGACATCGTGCCAAGTTTCCCTTGGACCACCTTTGGTGATCGAAGCATCAGTAAAGTTTGGCTGATGGAAATCATCGTGGTGAGCTGTGTCCAAGGTCCTGAAAAGGGAATGGAAAGATGTGTCATATCTCCCAGCACAAAGATTAATAACTCTACTGTAAACACCATTTTTATATTTTATTATTATTATTATATTTTTTTTCTTTTTTTTTTTTCACATTCTCTTTTCTTTTCTGATTAGTTTGACAAAATCTTAGTGCATTAAATGCATCTTTCCTAAAGTCCATCTCCAGCTACCAGCAATTGCCTGACACCATGCTTAACTTGGTAACGTGAATTTTGGCCACAAAAAGTCTCTTAGGCCAACTGAAAATTTAGGATTTGAATCTCAGAAAATATGAGATTTGAATCTTAGAAAACTTTATAAATAGAGTTTGTTTCCTACACAAAGAAAAAAAAAGCCTTGCAAAAACGAAAAAAAACAAATCCAAAAAAAAAAATTTCTACCAAATAAAAAAAAAACTAAGAATACCAAAACCCAAGATCAAACAAGCCAAACAAGCACAAATGAAAGAATCATAGCCTCTGGAAATGACGACCATAGCACCAAATAAAAAAAAAAAAAAAAATCATTTTTTGGCCAAAGGTTAAAGGGCAGATCTAAGGGATTTGGGCTCTCTTTTGGTAAAAAAAAGAGATCGAACTTAGATTCAGGGAGTTAATGGGAGTATTTTGGATTTTTTTAGATTTTTTAATTATCGCCAATGGTGGCTGATGACCAAGGGCAAGGTGATCGACATGGCAGAGTAGTTGTCGGTTTCTGAAACTGATCGACCTAAGATTTTTTTAGGAGTGAGAGGATTTTGGGATTTTTTTCTTTTTATGGAAGAGAAGGGAGAAATGAAATGAAAAAAAAATTTGACCTTTTATAAAACTACCTAAAGCCAAAATGATGCCGTTTGGAGAAAGGCCAAAACGACACAGTTTTCAGACTTGAGGATCTGCGCATAACCTATCGACCTGATCTGGGATCCGCGCATATGACTTAAAACCCATTCCTTCATCAGCTTGGACCTATCCAATTGAACCAATGATTAAACCGTCAGAAATTCAATCTGAACCGTTGAACTGTCGAACTAGCCTAGACCAGACTAGACTAGCGTCAGACTCGTTGATTGAACTGTTGACCGGTTTGGTTCAAGTAAAAAAAATTTTAAAATTTTTAAAAATTTTTTATATATTATTTTTGTTATTTTAAATTTTAGTAATAGTATTTATGTATGTTAAAATGCTTAAATTTGTTAACATAAATTTTATTGTAATAAATAATTAATCAATAAATAAAAATAAATAATGAAACATATTGTTAAAATTTTTTATAATTTTGTTAATTTTAAAATGAACCTCATAAAATACAATAATAATAATAAATATAAGAAAAGAAAATTTTTATCTGACGATAAGATTTAAAGGTACTCCAAGTAGTGATACCTACAAAATCTTTAGGTGAAAAGATTTTTTTTAAATACTGTCAGTGTATTGGAGTATTTATTAAAAATTTTCAATATAATACAAAATTTTTTATTATAAAATAGTAAATAAAATTAACTAATAAATTAAAAATAAGTGATAAAAAATTAAAAAAAAAGAAATTTTATCCAATGATAAGATTCTAAAAGTATTTCGAGTAATGATACTTTACGAAATTTCTAAGTGAGGAGATTTTTTTAAAATATTACCAGTGTATTAGAATATTTATAAAAATCTTCAATATGATAAAATTTTCTCTTTTCTCCAATAAAACAATAATAATAATAACTCAATAAAAATATCAATAAAATTTTGAAAGAATAAATAAAAATTATGCATTAACATATTATCATCCACATTGCATGCATGACATAATTTTTATAAAAAGTAAATTTAAGTCTCCGAGGATGAGATTCTAAGGTATTTTGATAAGTGATACCTAAAAAATCTTTAGGTGAGAAAGAGTTCTTCTAATGTCACCAACGTACTGAAATATTTTAAGAATTATTTTAATAAAAGGGTTCTAATTTATTTTTTTCGAATAAAATTTGAACAATAAATATGGACTAATAATAAAAACTATTAAAAAAATGTAATTTCAATAAACAAGAAAAATTAAGAAAATTATTTTTCAAACATCGAAAATAAGATTATTTTTATCAAAATAAATGGATAACACATAATTAATTGATACCGTTTTAAACGGGCTCTATGAGGGTGCTAATATTTCCTTACGAGTAATCGACTCTTAAACCCAGATTGTTTCGCAGATCATAAAATTATCTTTTTAATAAATTTTAATTAATTTTAAGATTTTATTAAAATGATAAATTTTAATAGGTGGCCAATCGCACCTAACCCAAAAAAATTGGTGGCAACTCTGTTTTCATTTTCAAATTCATCGGATGGATACAAGACCATTATGACATTGACAAAGCTCACAATTTGACTTTACTTTGTATCTCCATTAGGTATCGCAGCATCCACCATAACAATCTTCTAGTGATGAGTAGTAGAGATTTGTAAATT